TTAAAACAATGTCTCAGGATCATGCAAACATTTACAACTATTTCATGTTATCTTTCTGCGACATAGCTTTTAGAGTTGGGAAGATTACAGAGTTCCATTTCACATCATATTTACTTTGTTTCCCTTGAAATTATTTAATTATGCAGACATTTTTAAAAATCAGTAGAATTTCCATTTAATAATGAAATGCTTACACAGTGTTTGCAAATGATGTAAAAAAATAAAAAATGTAAAAAAAAATGGAGTAATGAGGTTTTGATATGCAATTTCTTCTTTTGCACATACACAAAAAAACTCTGGCAGCAGACCTGTACAGAAGGTTACGAGGCACACAAGAGGCTGTTTACATGCGCAGCCTCTCTGTCTGCCTGGTGCTCTGAGAGCTATGGCTATTCACTCCCCACTGGCATTCTCCAGCAGCTTGATGGAGTTCAGCGGGACATTAAATTAGCCTCCCAGCAGCTAGCTAGCCTGAATGGGGCTGACCCAAGCCACTGGCCATGTTGTTCTGGCTGATATTGTCATGCAGATTGACTGAGTGGAACAGACCCACCTGTCCAGCACTTCGTTAGTCTGCAGGACAATGACTTTCTTGGGAGCAGAATTGAGAGGGATGTGTGGTTTGTTTGCCTGCTGTGTGTGTGTCTATTTGTGTGCTGTTTGTGTTGTTGACTTAGCATCTGGTGAGAAGGCACTGAAGGATGTGACAATAACTCACTTCAGCTGCCTCCCATAGGACACTCTGTTCAATATTTCATCTGCAGATCCTGGAGAGATGCAGGCAGATTGACATCAAACTACTGAGGCTAGAGCCCCCACACCTACTTATTTTGCTCCTTCTGTTCTTCCTCTGTTCCAGAAACTAGCCCTATCAAAGAATGAAGTTCTTTGATAGGGCATCAAAGACATAGTCAATACTCCAACCACCAACACTGAGGGAGTTGCTCAAAAAAGTTATTGATGAGATGTTAGTTATTAAAAATTCATCTCAGAATCAGAATCTTTATTTGCCTGATAAGAAATACCAAACATACAGTAGACAATATCACTATAAAAATGAGCAGAATAGTGAATATATTAGTGATATGTACAGATGTATTATGATTTGGATGTCCGGGAATTGGTATGTACTGAAGCATTATAAATGTTAGTGGTAAATGTGCAATGTGGTGTGTGCATATTTGAATATGTGCTGCAGTTGATTAATGTACTAAAAGTGTTACGCTGTGTCCTGTTAAATGCACATGCTAATCGAAAAAATTAAACTGATTGCAGACTGTAATGGGATTACTTTCCTTACTGCTTTTTGAGAAAAAAGGATCTCACTAATCTACTCGTTACTTTACTTCTAAGTTACTCTGTGAACGCCACACAAATCTGTACTACTTGTAAAAATACAAGCATGACCACCAACTGTCCTTTCAGTAACTTTTTTAAATGTAGTAACAGTCAATAACAGGACACATCATTTAGAGGCATGTTCTGTCCCTGCTTTTGCTCTGAACATGACATAACCAGTTAGGTTTGGTTAAAGTACAGGGAGATTCACTCAAAAGAGGCCCCGAATACTCTGTAATAACTCTTGCTAGAATAAGGCAATCTGAACAAAACAATGTGCAATGTGATCCTCAGTGTATGGAGCTTCGAATTAGCTGGGATGCCCCTGCGTCGGAGCGATCAGGTAGGCGCCGGACAACCGTCACAACACTTAACCTCCGTTTGCAACTTCCAATACACTTCATCCTAATGGGAGTTACAACAGAATATTCGGGACCTCTTTCGAGTGAATCACTCTGTATGAATTTGACTAATGCTGAATTAAAAAATGTGCATAACATTATATGCTATAATGCTAGGTAAAATGTAGCCAGTGGTCTACAAACAACCATTCATTTTCCAACTACCCGGCACTTCCTCTGCACTGATCACATCAGCATAGTCAGTTGTCACTCTGAAAAATATAGTAGTCCATGTTAAATCCTCCAGCTTACAGAATGCTATCTCTTCAGCGTATAATTAGAATGCTGTCTCATTAGCATGTAATTACTTTATTCACATTCATTGTGTGTTTGACCCCTTCGTGTGGCTTTGCCTAGCCCTCTTTGGATTTGGTTGCCTGATTGTAAATAACTTGTATGTAGTTAGACAATTTTCCTCCTGTATGTCACTAGATAGGGAGTGTTCTGACAAAAAAGTGGCCCTGCTTCTCTTTTTTATTGTCACCTGACCCTAGACCAGACCAACACAGGCAGCTACATTCAGCAATCCAGGGGAGGATGTAAGATATGCGCAAATAACACAACGACAAATGAATGTAGAATAATGTAGTCCACCTGTGCCCATGGAACCGTTAAAAATATGTTATATGAAAAGAAAAGGAGAATGATCATGCAATGAAAGTGGTTTGATCGAGCTCCTGCCTCACCACCTCTTTGGCTCTTTTTCTATTACTCAGCTGAGATGATGGAAAAAAAAAAGAATATTTTGAAGCTCAGGAATCTAAAATTATATCAAAGATCATCTAAAGGCTTATGAGCTCTGGAGACTGATCCGCTTTCGGGGCTTTGAGAAACTCCATTAATCATTGGAGCAATTTCTCTCCAACAGTATTAACATTACTTGGCTGCTTTGAGCTGTTTCCTCTAGTGTTTACTCATTCTGTTTACTTATTCTAGCCCTTCTAAACCAATAAACAGCCAACAGGAATGAAACTGTAATTATATTATGTTCACCAAGTGCATCCCACAGAGTCAGTGTCCTCTCTCTCTCTCTCTCTCACTTCTCCTCTTCTCTCTCTCTCTCTCTCTCTCTCTCTCTCTCTCTCAGAGAGTCACACTGCAACCAGTAACATGATTAATATATTACTCATGAATTCTCTTTAATCTCTGCCTACTGTGGCATTGTGTTGAGGGCATTCCAGTGTGAAAATTAAAACTAAGCCGCTTGTGTTAAATGTTATACATTTAATATTCTGCACCCTTCAATGGGATGATAAAAATCAGATGAATGCTAATTAGCACAGGACATGTAACGTGCTCAGATTCAAATGATTTCTGCAAAATTATCTTAAAAACGTACTGCAAAATAAGGCAGGTTTAGAGGCATATTTCTCACTCTTGAGACTAGCACCTAAACCAGAGCAAAGCTTCAGTAGATCTAAACCAGAATCCAGAGGTTTTCAGCTGCCAGGGCCACATTATCAAATTTCCCTGACTTTTTTTGTGACTTTCTGTAAACATTGTTAGTTTCCAAACATACCATTCACTCCCCACTCCATACAGTCCATATACAGAAAAAAACAGTCACAAAAACCAATTCATTTACATATATCCATCTATATAGCCTACAGAGTTTAGCTCTGCCCATTCATATTGAAGTTCAAAGGGGTCTGCTTTTTGAATGAGGCATCATGCAGGACAACCAGTCAGAACAGCTTATTTACTTTATATCAGTCTTAAAGGCAGAAAGCTTATCTCCCAGAATTCAGTCATGCTGAACCTTCACCACCTAAATGTTCTGCATCACTTGTTTGAAGGCACTTTGCTTTAGACACCCTCAACTGAAAGAGCGCACTTAAGCTCAGAAAAGAACCACTTAAAGCCACACAGAGATTATCGAACAACAAAGAGGTAGAAACAAAACCCCACCATGCTGCATTCTGCAAAACACTGACAAAAGGATCTGGGTTCAAACTGCCCTCTGAAAATTCAGCGGCTCTCACTGTAAAAACCAACAGTCAGTGACGTTAAAAAAACAGCACTTTAAAGCTGGCTTGTTAATGTTTATATGGTTATAGTTATTAAAATCTCTTACAGTGGAGTCTGACTGCTGCACTTGCCACAGTCTCTATAAAGTCTTCTAGGTATACCATAAACTTCCTTTATTACATAGTGTATCCATGCAAGTTAATCGACTTAGAAGGTTCAGGAGGATAAAAAATCTGTATATAAATAGGTCAATTCCAGCTGATCATTAAACCATTAAATTCATCAACTCTAGCTAAAGCTAGACTATTATAAGTATAATAATATGACTGCCTAATGTGAGACACTTCATCATGACTCCACTCTAAAGTACTATTTGAACAGGATTAGTTTTACATGTGGAGGTGCAGTAATGTAATTATTATCTGATTATCTGTGTCAGTAACTTCATATGAACTACACACTTCTGACTATGCCATCTTATTCCTACTATAAAACAAACTGTAGAAATAATCCCAGGTTACATCAATCCTGTGTTCAGTTATGTAAGTCACTAATTACTTAATTAGAAAGGCACTCAAGGACGCAATTAATTGCATTCTCTGTAGTCTGAATAAAGCCAACAGGTTTTGGCCTAAAGTGTGTAATAATGAACATTAAAATCCTGAAGGCAATCACAAGGACTTGTCAGGGGAGTGAAACTTCTGGGAACCTCAGGTCAGCCTAAATACTTGTTGTTATGGCTCTATGAAATATTTATCATTTTCTTGGAGAAACAAAGTTAGGCAACATCTTGAACAAGCAATTATCTTGCTGCATTTTTTAAAATGGTTGAGTTTCTTAAAGACTATAGCAGTTGTCCCATGAGCATGTTAAGCCTCATGTGCAAAAATTAGCAAAATTGGTTAACACCCCTGTACACCTCCACACACAGAAGATCAGGGTTCGATTCCCTGTCTAGTCAGAAATGCCACTGCTGTTGGTAAGACTGCATTTGCCCACCACTTTAAGTCGACCTGGAGAAGAGCTAATGAGGTACAAAAGAAGTAATACCAAGCCTTACTCAGCACAGAACTGTAGCATGTCAATTGTCAAGCCTAAACTATGCAGATACAGACCCCCTTTTTTCACTTTTTTCATGTTACAACAACTTGCATTTTGAGTAAACACTCCCATCTCTGCCATTCATGCAGAAATCTCTTATCCTGTGTGCTGTCATAAGCATAACATCCTATTTGTGGTAACATTATGATAATTCAGACACATATGCCCGCAAAACTTGTCTAAATCACTCACTTGGAGACCAGCGAGAAGGCTTCTGCACATACAGCAGGGCAGGGCACCAGTTTAATGAGCACATGTTGGGTGGCAGCCTGGAAATGTGCCTGTGTCACCTTCTCCAATACTGAGGACAGAGTGCTCACGTCTGCAGCCTTCGCCCCCGGGTCACCACCTGCCGGGTCCAGAATGTTCCCCCCATGTACCACCAGCACCAGCACCTGCGTCTGACACTTCGTCTGAGAGAGACAGGAGACAAACAGGTGAAGTTAGAAGGGCAAAGAGAAGACGACACAATATTTAGAGACTGTGTTGGGTGTTGGTTGGGGAAAGCTAGACTTCCCCAACCTGCTTTCAGCCTAACAAAAAATCCATAAAAATGGAAAACATTTTAAACATTGTTTCAACTGTTTTTAGACACATTATGTACCACAAAATACACACGCCTTTTTGAGAATATTGAGTATCTGGTGGCCATATGCTTTCATTTCTTTAGTTATATTAGCCTTGAAGTTGTAGCACAAATCTACAGAAGCAAACTTTGGACACCAAATTTTGGATGATGGACTATCTCTAGGGTAAAGGGGAAAACTGTGATGATGCCAGAACCATCAACACTTTAACTAAAGTGTGAGACACTGGTGCAAATGGTGTGGGGGAGGGGGGGTAGCTGTCAGATACAATTACAATTACTACAAATACAGACACAACTACTGTATTGATGTCAAATACAGTTTAAAACTCTAATTAAATGATTTTTGTTTAGTTATGGTCAGATCTGTAATCATTTTCAACACTTTTTTACAGTATTATTTTCATTTGCTGACTTATGCCATGAAAGTTATTATTAGTACTTTCTTTTTTTGATTTAATTACCATATGGGACATAAAAAGTACAAGAAAAATCAACTGTAGGCATGATTTGTTTTCATTATAATTTTTACAAATTACGTTAGAATTGCTGTATGTAAGCTATAGCTTCCTGACATTACTTGCGTACGATTGACTTTTAGAAATGAGAACTTACGTGTATATAATTGCATCTAATTCATGTTTTATTTATCAGTACTTAAATGTACGTTTTCACCTACATTATTAGTAATGAGGCAATGAGAATATATGCAGATGATGAAGGCTAGAGGTTGATAAAGAGTAAATGTCCAGATCAGTAGTACACTAACATAAGCATGTTGGTTCAAAATAATACAATTCTCCATATTACTGAACGGTCCTGAGATGATATTACCTCAGCGTCTTCTAGGCCATCAATGCTGGTTTGGGGTACACACCTAGGCCTGCGAATTTGGTACAAGCTCTCTGAGAGAGAGACAGAGAGAGACAGAGAGAGAGAGAGAGAGAGAGAGAGAGAGAGAGAGAGAGAGAGAGAGAGATTAGAAAAAAGGCACTTTACACACCACACACATGCATCAATCCACTGAAGATTAGTGCCTCACTTTTTTAAACAGGAATCTAAGTTGCAATGCACTGCTAAAACTCATGCTATTATTTCTTGACATTTCAAAAGACGTAGATACAAAATTGCACGAAAGAGGGGAACTATTACCGCCAATCCCTTAATTCTCCCATCAGTGGTTTCACTGTGCACAACAAAATGACACAAGCTGTAAACAAATCTTGGCAAAACAAAGCTGCGGCTGAAGGACGAGTGAATGAGAGCGCTGGCTGTTTCTCCATCCAGCCTGCTCTGTCAGGATGCCCCCAGCCGAAGACATCACACCTCACCATCTCCTCCTCTATCTGTTCATTTGTAGTTTCCTCACTCTCATACACTCAGCTCCCAGCTCATTCTCACGCTGACCCACTCCTCGTGTTCTCAGTGTTCACAGCTCTTCCTCTGGATGTTTTGCCAATCAGGGTGTTAGCATGGCACTGAAGTCCACTCTCACAGACTTTCTGACTGCCCTGCTGGTTCTAAACCGTGCACAGACAAAGGCAGTCCTGGCCTCCATTCCTGTCACTAAGTGAAAGCTGATGGATGAGGGGGTGTCAGTGCGAAAGTGGCTAAAAGGAATGTTTTAGGTTATTTAGTCCATTAAGCCACAAAAGTCAGTCCATCCTAGAGGTGGAGAGGCCAGTGCTGAATTAAAAGGCTTCAAATGAAAAAAGTAATAAAATTCTTTCATGCTGGTAAAAGACTGACTCAAAGAAAATGCTGCACAGAGCTGCTTCTGCAGATGTACAATTAGTGTAGGCAGCAGGCAGCTGTGTCAAAAAACATACGGTATAGACAGTGTATCATTTCTCAGTTCACCTTCTGTTAAAGACACTGTGGCTAATACTTTATATTGGTCATGCTAAATTCACATTTAAATACATGTTATGGAATTCTCATCTTGGCTCCACTTTGTCCCATGTCTGTCCTGTCCTAGCTACATTCTGGCTCCTCTCTCCACCCCATCTTGGTTCCACCTTGTCCTGTCTCCACCCTGTCCTGGCTCCACCTTGTCCTGTCTCCGCCCTATCTTGGTTCCACCTTGTCCTGTCTCCACCCTGTCCTGGCTCCACCTTGTCCTGTCTCCGCCCCATCTTGGTTCCACCTTGTCCTGTCTTCACCCTGTCCTGGCTCCACCTTGTCCTGTCTCTGACCCATCATGGTTCCACCTTGTCCTGTCTCTGACCCATCATGGTTCCACTTTGTCCTGTCTCCATCTTATCCTGTCTCTGACCCACCATGTTTCCACCATGTCCTGTCTCTGACCCATCAAGGTTCCACCTTGTCCTGTCTCCACCTTATCCTGTCTCTACCTTATACTGGCTCCACCCTGTCCTGGATCTACCTTGTCCTGTCTCTGTCCCATCCTGTCTCCACTTTGTCCTGTCTCTGCCCATCCTGGGTCCACCTTATCCTGGCTCCACCCTGTCCTGGATCTACCTTGTCCTGTCTCTGCCTCATCCTGTGTCCATATTGTTCTGTCTCTTCCCCATTCTGGCTCAACCTTGTCCTGTCTCTACCCCATTCTGGCTCCACCCTGTCCTGGCCCCACCTTGTTCTGTCTCTGGCTCAAACTGGGTCCACCTTGTCATGTCTCTGCCCCTTCTTGGGTCCACCTTGTCCTGTCTCCTCCTCATCCTGGGTCTACCTTGTCCCATCTCTGCCCCATCCTGGCTTCTCCTTGTCTGGTTTCCACCTTGTCCTTTTCCCACCCTGTCCTGAATCTACCTTGTACTGGCTCCAACATATCCTGCCTCTGACCCATCCTGGGTCCACCTGGTTCTGTCTCTTTCCCATCCTGGCTCCACCTTGTCCTGTCTCCACCTTATTCTCTCTCTGCTCCATCCTGGCTCCACCTTGTCCTGTCTTTACCCTGTCCTGGATTCACCTTGTCTTGCCTCCACTTAGTCCCAGTCCCACCACGTCCTTTCCCTACCAATTCCTGTTTCCATCCTGTCCTGACACCAGTGTTTTGAATTCCAGTCTTTCCTGGTTTTGAACTTTGCTGCTTACCATTTTCTGACCCCTGATAATGATAATATCTGGAGAGATCCAATAACTTTGTGCATACATTTAGCCTCCCAGACTCATTAAAAATGCAGTATCTGTTCAGCTTTCTCTTTTTAACTACATGTAGCATTGGAATTATAATAAACAAAATATGGATTTAGCTCATGGCATAATCTGTACTGTCTTGTGAGAGACTTACATTTACATTTTATGAATGCTTATCTCTACATCAGTCAGAATCCAGTTCTTTGTTATTGTGACTGTTGTAAAATGTAATTACATACTGCACTAAGAACACGTCATTTAAAAAATAACAGCACATAATCTCTTGTGCAAACAAACAGTGGATTGGCTTTAATCTGTCCATGCCTCATTCCCTCAGTCAAGCACTGCAGACCACAGCTAGGCGTGTGTGTTCCTCAGTGAGGGTGTCATGACAACCCTGAACTGAACGGAGATCAGAAAGACAGGCATAGAGTGAGGCAGCTCTTTAAATAGCATATGCTTTCATTTCCAAATCGCTGGCTCTCTGAGGAGTGATTGTGCTGAATGAAAGCTGCTGCTCGAACTCAAAGCAGCCTTGCCTGCCTGATGTGGAGGGTCTCTGTGGCAGCCCAGCTGCAGACTCCTATTCACTGGCACATTCACTGGAGCGAAGTACCCAAGGAGCGGAGCTGTTTTCTCCAGCACTTAACGCAGCAGAGAATAAGCCAGCGTCAATCAGCTCGGCTAGAAGGCACTTAAGATTGCTGCCTGCCACGCTGCCTGTGTCTACTGAACTTAAGAGGCGACCAAGTTTTAGCCCACAGATGTATGTGTGCTTGTGTGTGTGTGTGCGTGAGAGTTCATACTCGGTCTCAGTGTCACCTGCTGCCAATATTGCTGCCCACTCTACCTGGGGGTGTTTCACAAAGCTGGATTTCTACTAAACTGGGAAGGCTAACAGAGAAACTCTGCTTTGTGAAACACCCCTGCTGGCTACACCTCACACTCTCTGCCTCTCGATAAGTGCTTATTAGCGCTAAAAAGTATACTGTTTTTTTAATTGTTATCACAATATGGGCTTTTACAATACTGAAAAAATGTCAATACAATATGCAAATGATTTGCATTGTGTGCTGTGTAGCAAGTCTGTGATTACAATTTGTGATTACAAGACCAATTTGGAACATTTTGGAAAGTGACTGAAAGGTATTAAATAGTTTACCAAAATGTCTATTTTTGATTGAAATTAAAACACAACCCTGCAGGATCTTTAAGTTATTGCAAGACATATTGCAATCAGGGTAGCATTATTATTGCAATATGACTTCAATGAAGGCAGCATAACTGCTTCATGATCCTTCTATATGTGTATAAAATAACACTGACACAAAGCTCACTAGGCAGCCTTGACATAATTTGTACTAAGCCTGGGTGTAATGGCTAAAAAATGTATCTTCTTTAATCAGCAATTAACAATACATTTCTAGGTATTCATGCACTCCATCTGAAATGACTGAAATGCCTATAACATGGAAGATTAAAATTTCATACCATACATAGAAACACAGTTATTGTTTCTGTGCTGCCACAAACACCAGCTGATTTACATACATCTGCCTATTCAGGCTATAGTAATAGTAAAAGTAAAAAGACTATAATGACGTTATAAGGATTTGTTCAGCTCAGAGTGCTTTTTGAATGAAGCACACTACAGAGCAGCCAATCAGTATAGAGCTCATTTACATACTTCAGTCTTAAAGGCACAGTGAACAAAACAGCCTGTTTGATTCTAGGGGATAAAGAGAGGTTGGAAAATGGTCATTTAAATGAATTATGAGCATTTTTGGTACCTAAAACCACCAAATTTTAGAAGTGGACCTCAAGAGAACCATGTAGGATAGAACCATAGTCCACAGTCTGAAGACTCATAATTCATCCTTTATTAAAGGTCATGAGATATGTAACCTTAAAAATAAACAAATTGGCTCCTGAGTGGTGCAACCGTCTAAGCGTTGGCCCTATCATCAGGAGATCACGAGTTCGATCCCTGGTGATGCTACAGCCATCCGTAGCCAGAAGTCCAAGAAAGCACAATTGGATGGCCCCTCCTTCTCCCCCCATCACTTAACACGATGCTAGTCAGCGAAAGCGTCTGTTAGCTGACGTAACAGATCTGGCGGTTGGTGCTTTCCTCCGAGCGCATTCAGCTATCCAATGACATTGCATTAGCAGCAGTTCGAAAAGATGCGGTGGCGCTTCACAGGTCTCAGAGGAAGCCTGTGTTAGCACTCGCCCTCCTAGTGTTGATAGTATTGTGTGATTGGGGGAGTCCTAACTAGCGGGTGGAACTGGAGACAACTAAATTGGAGAGATAATTGGGCAAAAATCCAAAAAAAAATATAAAAAAAATAAATAAATAAACAAATCATTGCAACTATATTATTGCTTGAACACACTTACACTCTGTCATATGACTGCCATGGCATTAAAGAAACTCAGCTGCATGCATAAAATGTGTATAAAATCACAACGATATTCACAACGTTGCCTAATTTTGTTTTTTCTAAAAAATAACCTTGAATGTATCCGATTGACCAACCCTGAACTTACAGTGCAACAAATACAGACAAGCACAAATTAAACAAACAACACATTGGCTGCAAGGTGAGAACTTGACGGCAACATATGGAGAAAAGAGGTTCAAACACAATAAGCTGAAGGTGGAAAGACAGTGTGCGTGTAGAGCTGAAGGAAAGATGAAGTATTGATCCAGAGGCATTTTCCACTGCCTTTCCTCACATCACACGGTCTGCTCTAGAATGGCACTTATCCGGAAATTCAATATAAACCTTGTATTATGCTTCTTCTT